CTATGGTTATCGTCATCGTTGCATCTCTAATCGAGATCTATTTGCCTTGAAAGTTTCAAGATTTCTTATATAGCCGTTCTTGAAAAACTTTGGAAAGAGATACCTTAAGAAAATTAATAACATGTAGAAAATATTTAATAGAATTTTGCTAAAAATCGTCGTCAATTTGGTCGTACTATTGATACATATGGTAATATTCAAGAAAAACTTGTTCGAATGGAAATGCGACAATATGTTACTGAAAGTATAGCTTTTCTTTTGGCACAAAATATGGATCGAGGAATATCAGAATATCAATGTAAGAATTTGTTTTTGTTTTTGTTTTTGATTTTGATTTTATATTTATTGAATTAGAATTTTAGGTGAAGCAGCTATTGGAAAAATCTTTGCATCTGAATCAGCATGGTTTGTAGTTGATGAAGCAATACAAATTCATGGTGGAATAGGTTTTATGAGAAGCATTTGTCTTGAACGTGTTTTACGTGATTTACGTATATTTCGAATATTTGAAGGTGCTAATGATGTTCTTCGTTTATTTATTGCTCTTACTGGTTTTCAATATGTTGGTTTACATTTACGTGAATTACAAAAAACAGTTAAATATTTTTATTTTAATATTATTGTTGGTGAAAGTTCAAAACGTTTACGTCGTGGTATTGGTATATCATCAGGTCCAAATATAAATGAATATATACATTCATCACTTCATCCATCAGGTTTACTTTTATCAAAATCTATTGATTATTTTGGTATAGTTATTGAACAACTTCTTATAAAATATGGTAAAGGAATTCGTGATGAACAATTTATTATTCATCGTATTGGAGATATAACTATTGATTTATATTCTATGGCAGTTTGTTTATCACGTTGTACACAATCATTTCAAAATCAGATATCATCAGCTATACATGAATCTAATTTAGTACGAATTTGGTGTGAAGAAGCTTATGAGAGAATTAATAATAATATAAATCTTATTCAAAATTCCGCTTTTATTGAAAGAACAAGATTAATGTCAGAATTATCTGGAGAAATTATTGATAAAGAATCAACTGTTCCTGTACATCCATTGAGTTTTTGAACGATACTTTTTCTTTTTTAATGATTTATTTATATTTTCTTTTTTTCGAAAATTTATTTCTATTTTAAAGAAATAATTGAAGTACTTATTTTTATGTTATACATATATTCGGGCAGATTTTGAAAATAAATAAATATGTATGTATTAATGAAATAATGAAAGAAAAATTTATCATATTCATATTTTTCTAATCGAAATTGAATAGTCACCCTGAAGATACGAGATAATTTTGTTCAGATTTTCGTATTCGATGACTAGCGCACTCTGTAACATTCTTTAGACGACTAGAGACGATCGGGGTCCAAAAATTTCTGATCCGAATCCGATTAACCCTTTGAGTCCGGGATTATTTTTATATAGTATAAAGGACGCGATGGGTTGATAGGCGAATCAGCCCTACAAGAAGTTTTGGATTCGAAACCCCAACTATATTACACCAAACGAAAGAGCTTAGTGAGTTGAGCATTTTTTGTGACGGAACTTGATCTTTTAAATGAAACCATGAAGAATTTTCAATAAACTAAATTGTAAAATTTCAGTCTTTTTAATCGTTGTCATGCTCGGAACTCTTCACGGTTTCATTTAAAAGGTCAGGTTCCGTCACAAAAAATGCTCAACTCGAGAAGCCCTTTCATTTGGTATAATATAGTTGGGGTTTCGAATCAAAAAAATTTTATAGGACTGATTTGCCTACCGACCTCTCTCGTCCTTTTTACAACATAAAAATAATCATGGACTCAATGGGTTAAGGAAGAACCCATAATTATCAGTAATTATAGATAACCTTAACCGCACAAATATCCTAAATACAAATATTCATGCAATTTATACTATTAAATAACTAAAACATCATGTTTTTTAAAGGTATTCAGTGCACAAAATCCCAGGACGCACATGTGCGTCGCCCGGACCCAAAGGGTTAACAGACAATATTATAATGCTGTTAAATGAACTGGATCATTAGATGTATAATATATATCTAATGATTTCTTTGATATGATTTGCTTTTGATAATAAACATTCGTTTATCGTGTAAAACTTCCACTCAATATTTATTTCTTGGTTTTTCTAGTTGCTTTCATTCTAGTTCTATTAACACAAAATGATCATAATATTCTGAATTAGTGAAAATATCAAAATTTCTCTTTCGAAGCTATAATTGACATTGTAAATTGAGACTGACAAATAAAATGATATTCTTTGCATTTGAGCTTGTTGACATCAGAAAAGTTTTATTTTTATTTTTTTAAATAGTTGTAATATTCACATGTTTTCTAAATAAGCTGTATTGATAGATAACATATATATGTACTGCTGACTTCTTATTATTCGAAGATACAAAATAACAATAAAGTATAACAAAGTCAAATATGTACTTTTCGTTTTCTATTTTTGAATATTGTTTGTCTGTATTATAGTATTCCCCATTTTGATGATAGAGAAGCCTTTTTCTTTTTCTTCAAACTTCATTACTCATTTTATTATTTATTTACACATCAAAGAAATATGAAAGTATATGTTAATGAATAATATGAAACAAAATTTTTATCTTTCAATCTGTAGAGAATTATCAATATAAAAAAAGTCATGTTTGTGCATAAATCGATTGGTTGATTATACCGAATCAAATTGTTGAAGACGTAACGATACTAAGCGGAATCGTAAAAAACAACCGCTCAATAAAGATACATCTCAATAATGAACGGTGTATATATGTATGTTTTAATCTAAATAAACGAATATTAAATATGTGTGAATAAGAAAGTAGTAAAACAAAATGAAATATTGATTTAAAGAAAGAGAAAATGTATAGATAGTTTGTGTTGTAATAAAAGACATTTGAACATTTTGTTTTATTATTATTTTCACCCACCTGACTTTTTTTAATTTAAATAAGCTGATGCACTTGGTAAATTTATAAATAGTCAAACATTGAATCGAAAAAAAAAGAAGAAAAGTAATCTAGAGAATAACGTATGTTGCTATCGATTTCCATCTGTTTTCTTTTCTTCGTATTTTGTCTATGTTAAATGTATGAATTATTGAAGAATGTGGCGCTTGATGAATCCATCAAATATAATTCAATCATCTTTTTTCTTTATTTTTTTCATTTTAAAATTGTTCAAGTGTAGATCTCGTATATGTTTGCAAAACTACCTTTTTTTTTTTCTTTTCTCTTTTGCCTATAAAAGAAAAAATAGAGGAAAAGAACAATGTAAGAGCTCTTCTCTCTCAAGTGTGACGACAAGTAAAGTGATTAAATGCAAGGAAGTCAACAACACACATGAGAGAAGAAATTTTTTTTTTTCATTTCTAAATTGTCCATCATGTCTCTCTTTCGTACTGGTTTGTATCCATACGAGTTTATCGATAAGTGTTTTCTTTTATTTCCACTGTAACGATTTCCTTTTCTCGTTTTTTTTTTTTTTTGTCTTATTCTTATGCATTCGAAGAACATTATACAATAAGTACAACATCAACCGTTTCGGCTCATGAATTTCAAACGAGTCAAAAAAAAAACAAGTGTATATTTAGAATGCAATACAACAAAAAAAACTTTACACAACTAAAAATTAAAATGAATTTTTGCATTGTCACTGTCTACTTATCTGTTCGATGTGGAAATGAAAGGAAATTAAAATATCGAGACATATGAACTAAAAACATTTCAAATGAATGTGAAATTCTACCAAATTCTTTTCTTCTTTAAAAGTGATAATTAGATTTGATAAAATATACCTTTTGTATGTATATGAGCACAAGACAAAAAAAAAAAAAGAAAAAGAAAAAAAAAAAGAACAAATGATGGAATAAAATATCTCATGGAGATTTGATCATCAAATAATAAGCTAAACTTACTAATGTGAAATGATGAAATTGCATACTATATTTTTCTTTTCATATATGTAATGTTGTGTATGTGTATTTTGAAAGACGCAGGTAGCCGACTGTTGTGTTGAATGAAGGAGAGAATAGTTGTTACAGTAGAAGTATAGAGAAGAAAAAAAACCTGAGAGAAAATTATGAAAATGTTCGTTAAGAGTGTCTACACGTAGCAGTGCCTCGATCTCTTTTATTCTCTCTCTCTCTCTCTCTCTCAATGTACGATGCATTTTGAAATTCCATT